ACTCTAAGGAAGCAATGTCCAAGTTTCAACTTGCACACTTAATAACTATGAGGAAGCAATGTGCAAGTTTCAACTTGCACACTTTTTTTTCAGTAATAAAGGTAATAATAATTATTACACCGTTAAAGTTGGCAACTGTTTATTCATATTTAAAAATTATAAAAATTATCTGAATTACAACCAAATTGCCATATTTATTAAAAACACTAACCCGAAATAATAATTTAATGCGGCTTTACACAATGAGATTATTCAGTACCAACAAGGATAACTGTTATATTGAAATATTTTCCAATAATCAAGTTGATATTTGTTTTAAAATCATTAAAGATAATAATTATTTATTCAATTCGTAATACTGAAAAATTATGAAGACTCAATATGTATCAATTAGGGATTTAATACTGCAATAACCTTGCTCGCTTTTTTCTAACGTTGAAAAAAAATTAAGTTAACTTTTCCGATGCCAACCTGCTGATACAAGCTCATATATCATGGAAATATCTTGTTTAAGAGAATAATTAATATAATTAACGAATAATTAATATGCCATAATAAAAGTTTAAAGAGAATCTTAAAATTACAGTTTATGAATTAAATGTAACATTAATATAATTTATTAAACATAAACTGTAATTTTAAATTCCCACGGCCACGAGTGAAGTTACGTGAGCGATTTCAGACTATACAATCAACCATTATACTGCTGAAATTAATTGGGGTCTGTTATTGAAGACAAGATTTGCCTCTATTACATGACTTTGCCGCATTTAGCAATTGACAGTGGGCAATTACATAATTAATGTTGCTCTGCTCTGTAGGATATTGCACTTTAGGCGATTCCCACATACCACTTATTACTCACATCGTATATGATGCATTGATATTCGGCTGTGCGTAATAGAAGAAAAATGAAAAATAAAATAAAATAATACAGAATACTACAAAAGCACCAGGTATCCTTTTTGTTACAAATTCTTTTATATATATTTGAAATCAGCATCGGAAAAGGAAAAATAAATGATAAAGTCAAATTGTTTAATTAATGTCAAATGGATTCTATTTGAATGATTTTAGGAAAATACACAATATCCTCGACAATATCCAAGACAATAGTTTTAAGATATCTTATCTATTAAAATTAATTATGATAAACGTATAAAATAAAAGCAAATAACTGCAAAATATAAAAGAAACAAAATAAAATAAAATTTAGTAATTTATTCATTCAATTTTATTATAATATATATGTATATTCATTTTATGAAGTACTTATGAAAAGTAAATATTAATAAATATATAATACATTAATACGTAAAATAAAATATTTAATAATTTATACATTCAATCCATTTATTTCGATAAATATTTCACGCATATTTTAATGCACACATTACGAAGCAGGTCTCACCCATTTTCATTTGCTAAGTATACCGAACATTTCCCAAAATATCCCGCATCGGTCTTTCTTTACAAGGCTTCCTCTCCCCCGTCCCCCGAGAACCCGTTGACGAGACGTATAAGCTACTGGATAGGACAAGGGTTGGCAAGAATGAAGAGGGAGAAGGCAGACGCGGACTTCCTTCTTTGTCGGCCCGTGAGTCGAATGGCAGACGGACGGACGGACGGGTTAAATTTGCATGGACGCTTGTCTGCGTTTCCAATTTCACGCATGCACACATTCAGCAGCCCCGGGAACAGTTTGGGCAGTCGGCGCGGGAGGGGCGAAGAGGGAAGGCTGATAATAAACGGCGTCGATTTCGGCATAAATCAAGGCCGTGAATCCCGGCGCGGCATCTTCGCGGGCGAGCGGAAAAAAAGAGGGGGGGGGATCGGAGGATAGAGAGGGCGAGAGGAGTCGGTCCATCGACAACGGCCAAATTAATCCGGCAAGCTTAAACAAGCGGAAACCCCATCCCCGCAAACCATACCCTCTTGCGGCGAGGAATTCCCACAACGGACCGCGCGGGATTCCTGTTGCATTTGCATGTGTTATTATTACTATCGTTTAATATACATGGTGTACTGGAATTATATTTGTTCGATGCAAATTTTGTCTTAACATCGACGTCAAGACGCGAACGATTTTCTCGAAAATTGCTACAATAAATTCGATATATTTAAACAATTGATTGCGTTATTTTTTGGTGCCGCGCGGGAAAAATCAAATCCGAATTCGAGTCAGAAAGCGAATATAGTCGAATTAAAGTCACGATTTATGGAACACTCGACAAATCAATCTTTTATAAGTCTAGAAGCTTTATAAGTCTAGAAGGAGTAAGATATTCGAACAGACGTACGAAGTTCGTCTTTCGTTTCATTTTAGATCCGTATATCTATGCATTTCAAGTGTATTGAAATTCAGGCAGCCCCCTCAAATCGTTCGGAGATTGAACAAACACCATAAATATAAAACTGATAACAATCTACAATTGTCCGCGCAATATAACTAGGACGCACGCGTGATTTTTTTGACACATCGATTGTTATAATCGGCTTATAGTCGTTCAGTTGCTATGATAAAGCGTGCGGTGGGCTGCATACACGAAAACTCGAACGATCTTTCAAATTTTTTGCGTAAAACATGCAGTCTCGAAGGAATATTTTCTAATACGTTAAGTTAATTTAGAAATATTCACGAAACTGGATGTAATAAACAATTCTCTTAGTTCATAACTTAGAATTACCATATTTTTTCTTTTAATTACTGTAATTAATCTTAACTAACATATAAGGCTAACCGTGGCTCCATGCAATGAAAAGATCCACGCGACGGCGACGTATCGACTCCGAAAATCGACTTCGATCTGATCAATTCACGCGTGTCGATACCAAAACATCGCGGTTAATTATCAGGAGCTATCGATCGGCATTCGCGACAATTCCGACGTGCGATTCGTTTCCCGACGGATAAAAGTGAATTTAGAAATATTAACGAAAATTTTTAGACGTAATAAATAATTCTTTTATTGCTAGTGTTCATACAATTTGGAATTAATATATTTTTTCAGTTCTTATAAAATTAACGTAAGACTAACCGTAGCTCAGACGATGGGAGAAAGATCCCTCGACGATCCATATGCGACGTATCGACTCCGGAAAGCAAGAATCCTCCTCGGAAGCACTGGATCACCACTCGCGATGCGATCCGATCAATTCTTCACATGCCGATACCGAAATATCGCGGCTAATTACGATCCGGGACGGTCTAACTCCCGATGTACTCCGATACGCGATTCGTTCCCGACGGATAAAAGTACGACGCGACCCTCGATTTCGCACTCCCGGAAATCGCATACGCGCGATCCACATACGTCACGTAAAAAAAAATGCGAAAATGCGGAGACACCCGCGTTCTCGTGCGTACGCTCGAACGACCCGGCGGCGAGTGAAGCGAGGCGAGAATCGTGTCGCGTGACTGCGCGAAGGTGAAGGTTAACCGTTCGCGCGTCGCTGCCGCGCCCGGCGCCGCGGCCGTCGAATTATACATTGTTTACACAGCGATACATATGTAATAACTATCGATACTTTCTTCGCGTATCGATCTGCGTCACCGATTCTCGCGTGAAAGTCAAGTCCGCGTAGACCGGAACGCGACGACAGTGGCCGAGTGGCGTGCCTCGACAACCGTGAGATGTATACTTGCGCGTCGGATCGTCGCGGGATGCTCCGATATCCGCTCGTTTGACGCTCGTTCGATTAGATTACGTTTCTCGACGTTGCGTCGCCGATTCCGGTATTAATGAACGCACGCGCGACTCGCTCTCGTGCAGCGAAAAGGGACGCGACTCACGCGACGAGGACGTACGTCTCTACGTGGGCGACGCGACGCGACGCGACGGTGGCGTAGCAAGTGAACGGCGGTTGCGTCGGTTGCGACGGCAACTTCGCGCGATTTGAATCTGCGTGCGTAGTGTAGGTATACTCGATAAACCGACATCCCGAATTTTCGACCGCGATATTAATTATCTATTATTAATTATTATTCTGCGATAAAATTGCATCGATTAACCCGATAATGCCCGTCTGACGCTCCATTTAACGCTTCAGATATTGATAAGCACGTACATCGTCTTCGGTTTGTTCCCCGAATTTGAAAATAACGGACCGCGAGACGAAAAGCCGTACGGCGCCGTACTTCGCGGACTACTTCGCCTTCGCGTGGGGGCACTTGCGGAGCGCGAATTGCGTTGCGCGGTCGGCGCGATCGAAATTCTTACGCCGAAACTGCTAGGCCTGTTCCTCCGTTTTCGCTGCACTTCTGAACCAGCGCGATAAGTCCAGAATGAAAGAAAATATATTCGTTTCATTAACGAGTGATGGGGATAGGCACAGGGTTCAGTTCGGTGTATCACTTTCCGAGAAGCCGTCGCCTGCGCCCCGCGGCCCCGGCATCGCTGCTCGCACGCGCGATTCGTCCCCGACAATTGGAAAACAACGAGACGAATGTAAAGGTATATGTACATGCTCGATACGCGACGCACCCGACATGCGTTCGATATTTTTAGTATTAAAATCTGCGCGCGCGATTCACTTGCGACGCGTGAGAAGCACGAAAACCGCGGAAATACCGCCTCGATTACGTGTGAATGCTTAGACGACGCGACGATAATCGAGATCTGGATTGTATATCTGTATTTGTATGTGAACGCGTCAAGATTAATGCTCGCGCAATTGCGAGTGCTCGACGCGACGCTCGTGTATGTTACAACGATACTTTACAACCATCGCGATACGTAATGCATGTAACAACGATCGAGGTACGTAATTTAATATTCTTTCAAATATTAATTCGCGCGTATCACTTATTCTTATACGGAATAAAGTCCGCAACGCGGGACGCGATAATGATACCGAAATTGGCGTCGAGTCGTTTCGGAATATTTCGCTCTATTTACCGAGCATTGCAAATTCATATCGTCCACGAGTTATCGTCATTGTTGTTCGACGTACGAAAAATTTCATATATATATAGAAAAAGGGGAAAAAAAATTGTATTTTTGGTGTGCGATGGATGAAGTCGCTCGAAAAAAAATCGCGCGATCGTCGCAGTGTTAATTAATGACGATATACGTATATGAAGTATATATGAGCGTCAGGAGCGTCAGATTGCTGGTTGATGAAATATTCGATACCGCGATAAGGAAACTTTGCCATTATTAATGCGTCCCGTCGTCACGTGTTGCATTAATTGATTTCATCAATAATTATACGCTAAGTGTACGTCTGCTAACATACATTTTATGCATGATTAAATCACTAGACATACGTTATATATCGAATCGCTAAACATAACGTCATGTAAAATTTTCAAGCGCTCTGGTCTGCGGATTTTTATCGAAACTCTGAACTCTGATTATATTGTTAAGCTTGTAGTCTAAACGAGTGGATAATGTATATTAATTATATCTGAGTGCCACGAAGTTATTTATATTCTTGCAATTTAGCAATGCACTGAAAAAAGGTTTTGGTAACCAAGGTTTTTTGGTGAAATAGCTTCAACTAAAGGGTTTAGTAATTATAACAAAATATTTGGTTAATGTTAACCAAATTTGTTAACATTAACCAATTTATTTCGTCATAATCGCTAAACCCTTTAGTTGAAGCTATTTCACCAAAAAGCCTTGGTTATTATAACTAAAACCTTTTTTCAGTGTGCGGTCTAAAAATGACAACGGCAGTAATTTCTCGCGATTTTGCAACGTTCGATCGCGTTTTAAGAGACCGAATGGAAAAACAGGAGTCATATCGAACGCGCGTTATCCGTTAATGAAATTTCGCGATTAATTCTACATACGAGATTTGTAGATATCAAATTCATCAGTTATAATAACGTTACGCAAAGAACAGATGGTTTCACGAGCCATCCTCTGTATAATAAATCATTCATATTCTTGCGGTTTAGCAACGTGACGTCTAATGACAACGGCGCGGCGGTAACATCTCGCGATTTAAATTTTGCAACATTCGCTTGCATTCGCGACGCACCAAACTTTCGATATTAATTATTTTATAGCTGTGTGTTTTTTTTTCACGACACATTAATGTCCATTTCAGCGTTGATGTATCAACGCAGATTAACTTTAATCCCGGTTTAACTTACTTTTTTATCATTTTCTAATTCTTAGAACTAGAATAGAAAAAAAATAAAAAGTAAGTTAAACCGAGATTAAAATTAATCCACCTTGGTATATATATATATAGAAATGAATATAAGGCGTAAGAATTTTTGATCGCTTCTTCTTCTTGTTGGTAGGTATGGCACTCGATCCCAAATTGAGTTCGATATGGCCTACTTTCAAGTCGAATAATTTCGATCGCGCCAGCCCAGCCGCGTAACGCAATTCTGTAGCGTGAATATATGCGATAGCAAAATAGAGAGTCAGGCGCTTTTCGTCGCAGTTTATGACTACGTTTACACATGCAGCGGCTTGTAATCCGGTTTAATAACTACCAATATACTATCCGATCCAAAATTTGTCTTCTTTTCATCATAACGATCATTCAAATGTGAACTCATTTTGATACTTTAAACATTTGAATCAATATAGGTATTTATATCAAAAGATGTTATGTATCAAAAAAGGATCATATCAAATGATCATTATAAGTAATGAAAAGAAGAATAATTTTTGCTCGAATAGTATACGGCGCACGGAGACGATTTTTTGTTATATTTTACCCTTAAATTCACTACAAACTTGGGACAACTTGGCAACCAAGAAATTTTTAAAATATACAAAAGACATTTTACACAAACAACGTGATAAAATTACCATGCAGATTGGAAAATTTTGAAAAATTATTGAAATTTCCTAGATATATTTTAGTACAATTAATCAAACATATTTTATATTTTAATGTAATAGATATTAATATCTTTTATTATGGTAGATATTAATCAGAATAGCTCGCATAAAATTCTTGGTGGTACATGCGTTGTCCCACCAACTACCATGATTTCAGGGTAAATTTTAAGAGAATTAACTCCGTGTATAGTTATTAAAACCGGATTATAGGCCGCTGTGTAAACGTAGTCAATTATTCAAACGTTTTATTTTCTAACGGTTCGCGAAATTTTTACGGATCAAATGTGATCTACGCCTATTAACATCAAGAGTACCAAATCCGGCATCGGACGAACATTACTGTATCGAGTAAATTAACGCGATTTCAATGCAAGATGCGTTAATATCGTGCTCGGAAATTCGAATCGTCGAACGTTGCAAATTCAAACCGCGTAAAGTTGCTGCCGCCGCCGCCGTTGCTGTTCAATTGTCGCGTCGTCGTCGTCGCTTCGTATAGAATTTTGCCGCGTCCCTTTTTGCATAAAAGTGAGTCGCGTACGTGCATATTAATATCGCGAAGTGTTAAATAATATCGAAACGTAATCTAACCGAGCGGGAACTGTTAAACTGACAGTGAATCGACAGTGAATATCCAGAATAATATAGCGGCAAATATTTCTCGATATTATTACCGCGGTATTATTATCGCGTCCGCTTCATGGATTTTACCTTGCAAGAAATATTGAATTTATCAAAAGAGCATCGGATCACAGTACGGTTTTGCATTATAAAATCATAATCAGTCGCGGACGTGTTTTATGGTTTGTATAGATACTTGTCCAAGCATTCGCACGTAATCGAGGTATCTCCGCGATTTTCGTGTTTTTTATGCATCGGATGCACGGATTTTAATACTAAAATTGTTAAACGCGTACCGGAAGTGTCGTATCGACTTTCACGTTACCACATCGCACATCGTCGAATTGTCGAACGTTGCAATTCAAACCGCATGGAGTTGCCGCCGTCCGTTGTTCAGTCGTCGCATCGTCGCCGTCGCCGCTTCGTAAAGAGTCTCGCCGCATCCGTTTTTGCGCAAGAGTGAATCACGTATTAATATCGCGAAGCGTTAAATAGTATTGAAGCGTAGGCCGAATAATCAACCTCAGAGAGGAGTTGGGAGTCGTTACATAGAAGAAGTATCGAAAATAGTCCACGCTGAATGAGTGTAGATACATGTGCAAAACAATCCTACGACGTTTTCCGTGACAGGTTATCTTACGGAGGAATTTGTACGAATCGGTGACATGTGCTTATTAAAATATTGGAAATGCTAAATCGAGTATCGGACGGGCGTTAGTCTGTCGAGTTAAGGAATGACAATTCTAATGCACAATGCATATTAATATATCGCGATCGGAAGTTCGAAATGTCCGATCGAGTGTATTTGGTCGTTGAAAATTCAAACCGCATAAAATCGCCATTATGTAAGGACGCCTCGCTTCGTT